AACATATATATATATATCATAATAGGCATCTTTACCCTAATTATGAAGATACATTCGTGATTTTGTATTTAATTTATAAAGTATATCTTTTTAACTGAGTTGTGAATACAATCTTACCTTAAGTATGACTTCGTTTCCCGACCAACAATAAACATAGACTTGTACAAACATACAAATAGTGTACACTATCAAAGTGGCTGTTTCGGATAGCGTACTATGTGCTGACAGATAATATACACTTGTACATAATACCAATATACTGCCAAAGAATTGGACAAAAAGTACCTGATTGAATATGGCGTTTACCGTTCTGGCATATCTGCAATGATAACACTTAATAATTCATGTTGTAAATGAAAATTCTCTTATTATTACATATAACATTGTAACTTGCTTAAGAATTAGTAAAATATTCTGGCGTTTATGATTTATTACAATAGCAATTGCATAATTTTAATAAGCATTGAAGTATATAATGTATCTATTTTTTTAGCAAGGAATGATTCATAAAAAATCACTTTTAAAAAATTATCTTTTCCAATTGACAATTCCACGATCAAGTTCAAAATAATTGCATCATTATAAACGATTCTTTTGGAAGACTTTAAATATCTATCTATCCATAAAAAGAGAGAGATGAAATATTAACTATTATTATTACGATAATTTATAGATAGAGAAACTAATATACATATATTATATTGATGAACATCACTAAAGATGTGTGAATATGCACAGAAGAAATGATTCTAACTTGTAAATCTTGAGGTGATGATGTATATATTTTGATATTATTGCTTTTTCTTTGTTTGACGAAGGAGAAGAGTGTTCTAAATATGTAATTTTATTTTTCATTAATTTATTAGTTTTATTAGTCACTAATTTTTTAAGACGACTTTCAAAGATTTCAAATTGAGCGCATGTTTGCAAAAACAATCCAAAAACTAGGGTTTCCGTGCCGACATTTATAATAGTAACAAAAATCACTGTTATGATTTGTTGAATAGACGTAATCCAGAACATTGGAGATACATTAAAATCATATGGTAGCCATACTCGATAAGGTAATTGACCTTGTATAGCATTTAACACAGATCTTACTGTAACACCAGTAACAGAACTTGTTGCTAAAAGCGAATATTTTATCGAGCATGATCTGTAAAAATATATAATTAAGATTACATTTACTAAATGTTTCTGTCATAGTAATTGACAATTATTTGTGTTTTTAAGATTTACAACAAACATTTATAACAAATTTTATTACAAAATTTGATTATTATTCCGTGAGAAACATATGTAATGTAGTACATAAAGAGTAAATTATGTATATATATATATATATATATATATATATATATATATATATATACACACTCTCTCGCGGGTGTCTTAACGATCAGCCGCGTTCGTCATCGCTGATTGTAAGAGCAGCACTCGTTAGTGCCTTCCGCCGAGCGAGACCCCGCGTGCGACACAGTTCGAC